TCCCCATACTTACCTACGGTCATGAATCGTGGACCATCACTGAAAAACTTCGAACCCGGGTACAAGCTACCGAAATGAGCTTTCTTAGACGAGTAGCTGGTCTGCGAATCTCGATTTGGTCCGGTATAGAGACATCCACGAGAGTCTTGGTGTACTCCGCTGATTCTTCAGACTGAAAAATTACAGCTGCGATGGTTTTCGCACGTGCTGCGAATGCCTCCGGAAAGGACGGCTAAGCAGCTGTTTCTTTCCCAACCGACCGGCAGAAGTCCCACCATACGGAGAAGATAAATGTGGTGCAATTATACGAAAGGAGTTTGCTCCAGATTCCGGTTGTTTTCGGCCGACATGGAGACTCTGGCACAGGATCTGGAACGTTGGAAGCAGCGTCTGATGCGTCTGTCTACGGGACCCGAAAAAAGAAGCAGTGACGGAAATGAAGATGACTTCCTCGGATACGAAAGCGAAAACTGGATACAACATCGTAGGACGGTTTGTACAGATCCGGATGATGACAGCAAATGTGGAAATGGAATGAGAGGTATTTAAGAGCTGCGTATCCGGGACTACCGCCGAATGATGCGTATTAAAACGGGCTTGCCTAACTACTGATGTCAGTAAAGAACATCCTGGTGGATAAGAGACGTACAACTGGCAGCTAAAGAAAAGTAGGCTACATTCAAGAAAAGGCATGGAAGCAAAGAGACTTCAACTTGCATGCAGCGTGTAGAAGCGCGGAAGGCAGCAGCGAAAGCAGTGGCGAAAGTCTAAGCTGATTGCTGAGAGAAGTTCGGTAAGGCACTGAAGTCAAATTTCCAGAAAGCAAACGAGGAAATCTGGCAGACCATACGTCTGCTTCGAGGTGAAGGGCAGTCTAAGTCTTGAAGGACATGTCTAGACACCCTCTCACCAAAGATGATGACGTTTTTCGGCGATGGAGGGAGCACTTTGAGGAAATCCTTAACCCGCGCATCTGCAGGAAGACTCGCCTGTAGAGCAGCAGGGAACGGATATTACTATTTGTGTAGATGAAATCACAAAAACTCTGAAAAGACTGAAAAGTAGAAGGGCTAGAATTGATGAAACCCAACCTGAAATTCTCAAAGCATTAAGCGAACAAGGCATTTGCTGGCTTACAAGTGTCAGTCAATCGCAACGACTATGGAGAAGACACCTGCGGGCTGGAAAACGGGATTTATTGCACCCCTATTCAAGAAGGGAGACCACAGGAAGTGCTTCAAATATCGAGGCATTACGTTATTGAACCACTCAGGTAAAGTCTACGCGAAGCTCCTAGAAAGGA